ATATGAGTTCCAGGGCAGCATGACAGTTCGAACACAAATGGCCCAAGTGCAGGTCAATACTTTCCTCCAATCGTTATCCATTATAAAACATCATTCCAGGACATCACTGGTTGGTGGTGCAATAACCATCTTGAAAAATATTAGTCAATGGGAAGGATTATCCCATATACTATGGAAAATAAAAAATATTCCAAACCACCAACCAGATCAGTGTTATGAATGGACAAACATTGTCGGTGCTACGTGTGCAGCAGTACCACATTGCCAAGGACTGTGATGCCGCTTGAAAAGGCGGATCACTGACGAAGATGGTCGGATTCAATGGATTGGTTTAAGGGAAAAAATCAGGAAAACCCCATGTTTAACAGGAAAATCTATGGTTTCCGGTTAAGATTTTCCCTTAGACCAGTCCATTGAAGGATGGGGCAACACCCAACAAGGGCAGAATGCGGCAGTTCTCAGAGCCAGTGGATCAGACATCATGGCTGTTTGGGATCGCAGCAAGGACAGCGGAAAACCACTCAAACAATTTTCGATATGATATGCCACGAAAACTATCCCATTGAACAAATCATGTTTTTTTTCTGTGGAAAAGTATGCTCTTTTGCTGTTTTCTGTTTGACGGTTTGCCGGAAAACGGCAGCAATTCGAAGCCTCCATGCCTTCAAACGGTAGCCATGAAGTTGCAGACCTCCACTCCGATTTTCAGACAAGATGAGTTCCCACCGCGCAGGCCATTCTTGATGAAGTTCATCTCCTTCACAGACTTTCTGGATTCATCTGCTCTGAAATCCAGTGGATCGCCAAAAGCCTGGGCATCCCTGCTGGAACTGCCCCAGGTTTTTTGTTGCTTGTCTTTCTGCTTTCTGCAAGGCTTTCGAAAACAAAACATGATTTTGCCAGAAAAAAACTCGTAATTTTCTAGATCTTTTCTTTTGTTTACAGATGTTTTTCATTGATCTTCATCAAATTTGATGGATCCACCTTGATTTTCATGGGTTTTCCTGGATTTTCATATGGGGTTTCCCTTGATTTTCCCATCATTTTCCGCCCCCATTTTCGACGCCCAAGAAACGTGGTGATGCTGCCGGTAAGGCCGCGGAAGGTCACGCTGAGATCCACGCCTGCACGGAGATTCTTAGGGAGAACAAATGGAGAATACATGATTCTTAGGTTAATAATGATAAATGATAGTAACTATGATACAAAAACCTATGATCATGTACTATCATTATAGGTATTATTGATAATAGTGTCTTAGGTTACATCTCTTGTTATATATGATATAACAACCTATGATGTTAAATGAGACTTTTATCAGTAATCCATGTAAACTGATAATTCAACAAATGGATAACCGTAAAAAATGGCAAATAATGGATCCATTGTCCATGGTTGATAATCATAACAAATGGACAATAGATGACGGATCCATTTTTCATGATGAATCATCGAATTTGGACAATCATGGCATGATGGATAGCTCCAAAAACTCTAATGGGGGCGATACTGATGGATAACAAACACATGGTTAAGAGCAATACTGTAATTGATAAGATGTTAATATCTGTCAATAGATGTTCATAGATGTTAATAGATGTTCACCGGTGTTAATGGAGGTTAATAGATGTTAATGGATGTTAGTAGATGTTCATAATGGTGAATGATGGTTAGTCATGCCGGATGATGCTTTGAAATAATTAATGATTGTGAATTATTGTGAATGATGGTTAATGATAGTTAACGTTGGATAGTGGTTCAGTTACAGAAACTTTCCTTAAATACAATCAACCAATGCTTAATGGTGAACGATGGTAAATCATGGTTAATCATACTTGATAACAAGCACATAGTTAATGATGATGCATGATGCATGAATAGATGGTTAATAGTGGTTCATACTCACTTCCATTGGTGCATGATGGTTATGAGTGGTTCATCAGCCCTTAATGTTTTTAGAGTCCTGAAAAAACCACCAGCATCATGGGATATTAATCACAAACAATCTGACGGCGAATGGTTGATGGTTTTTATCGTGCTTCATGATGGTTCATGACGATCAATAATGGTCAGTGATGGTTAATGGTGGACAAAAATTCGGTTAATGGTTTTCAGTTCACATTCCTGAACAACAATCAACCGATGCTTCGTAATGGTGAATGAAGGTTCTTAATTATCAGCAATCCATGAACGGTATTGGTTATCGTGAATAATCGATATGGATAATACCATTGGAGGTATGTCAAAGATGGCCATGGTATTGATTGATGTTATACATTGTATTGATGGTCCCACTATTGGTATTGTTGTTTCCTCATTCCACTTGCCATTTGGTTGATTCTCCATTTTCAGACAGACCCATAAAATATTGAGTTAATTATACATGCATTTATACTATGTATATATATATACATATCCCAGAAAAAAATCACCAGTATACCCCTTTGTTTCATCTCAAATCCCTCTGAAAATTGTGGTGCCCCAAGCACTTAGATCAGAAGTTGAGGCCCCCCCTCAGCATCACATGAGTCTTAATTAAAAGGCTTAAGAACCATTATTTTGCTTGGTGAAGCCCCAAAAACAATGACTCAGTAAGACTCAGTAAGACCTCCATTTTTCATGGGGAGTTCACCGATTTTTGGAGGTCATCAACCGATTTTTACTCAGATTGGTGAAGCCCCACATCGGTTAGTAAACCCCTGCCAGGTGACCCCAGGTGACCTGCAGAGCAAGACTTTGGCGCACAAAGGTCTTCGACACCTCGGTGTTTGTGGGTTTAGTTAATTTAATACTCAGTAATGGTAGATAATGATGAACAAACATTAATAGAAATGATTGTGGGTTTAGTTAACACCCATTGGGCGAATGAATATCTACTGGTTGATATCCAATTCTGGATGTAAATTGCAGATAATATACCCACTAATAGTGGCTAATGATGGGGGACAATTTCATGATGGTAGAAAAATCAATGGTTGATCATGTCTCCCTATGTTGATTATGTGTCATCTAACATGGGTAGAAACATCGGACAGGATCAACCTGGCAAGTCGCTAGAGTTAGTTCAGGGTTAGTTCACCTAGTGATGAGGGAAGCAAAAAAGATGCCAAATCGTCGATTTGATTTTCATGGTTACTAAGCACACACACACAACAAGTGGGATTTCCTCCAAGTAGAAATAGTCGACCGAACTTATTGGTGCAAATTTATTGTCGTTTATTTACTAGATGAGGCAAACCACAACGGCGATATCCTCACACTAACCCATTGAGGATGTATCCTGCGAAGCTATAACCAAGAAATATGAACGATAATAAACCATCCCCCAAATCACCAAAAATGGGTGGTATAAACCATCAAACATGGGGGTGGTTTATTATTTGACAAAATATGCTTCATCGTGGTTACTACCACACTGATGAGTTGCCGCATACTGCTGCCTCGAGGGCCAGGGCATTGGACTCGATGATTGGTTGAAAGGCCGTTCATCCCATCCCCCGTTCATAGTTACAGCCCCATTCTATGCCAGTCATATGTATTTTGATACCAACAAAAAACAACTGTTTTCCAGAAATCTTGAATTCTCAGATGATGATGGGAACATTTGCAGGAACCCCCTTATTGTGACCTGCAGATTTTACCACCAATCCTGGATTTGCTTACCGGGGGTCCCCATGAAGATAACACATGATTCCCTTAATCGACTCTCCCCATTCGTAGTGGATTTCCCACTAAAATCTAAGCTCGAAAACTTGGATCTCTGACAGCCAGTGGGGATCATCATGCGGAACTTCGAGCCTCTTTTTCTTTATGTTGCCAATCTTAGACGGTCTGCAACGACTTCAAGTCTTTGCTGCTTAGTCGATGTTTTTATTTTTAATGTGTAGATGATATATATATATATATATGTACATGGAGGTTTCCTAAAATAGGGGCACCCCCAAATCATCCGTTTTTATACGGTTTTCAAGGAAATAAACCATCCATTTTGGGGTAGCACCATTTTAGGAAACCGCCAAATCCCCAGAAGTACTAAAGTACCAATCTAAACCCATTGAATCCCAGATGGTAGAAATCCATGATAGTCCCCAGAAATACCTATAAAATGGTTGATTTCCAAAATTAGTAAACTGTTAATGAACTATACCCTCCAGTAAACTAACATAGCTATTGAACATGGCCATGGAAATAGTTGATTTACCCGTAAAACATGTTGATTTTCCATAGTTATGTTATTTTTGCAGAAGGTAACTAAGAGTTTCAATATCAACCCAGATTACTCATATAGCACCCGCCCAAAAAGATGCCAACAAAAAATGCCACTTTAGGATGCTAAAAAATCGATGGATGTTTGTCCAACTTTTCAGCCGGCATTTTGACGGGCTAGAAATAGTTGAATCTCTAATATGTTAATGGGTATCCATCCAATAATTGTGTTCTTGCTAGTAATAGTTGAATATAGCTAATACGATAGTTTCTACATTAGTTCATACGACCCAATTTGTTCATATTATTGATCATCATGTCATGACTACGTTATTCCCAAGTACTGTACCATTAGTAAACTATGAATAATGACTAATAGTCTATAGTTTATTGATGATAACCCGGGGAAAGCTATACTTTCTGTAATAATGCCTACTAGTCATTCATAGTCTTTCGTTTATAGCTGGTTATGATAAGCCATGGACACCTATATCTTTATATGTCACCTATATTGTGATAAACCATGGGAAAGCTATATCTTATTAACCCAATGAGTTCATATGGAGGTTTCCTAAAATAGGGATACCCCCAAATCATCAATTTTAGTAGGATTTTCCCTTATAAATCATCCACTTGGGGGTATCACCATTTATGGAAACCTCCATATATTATTCAACGATCATATGGTTAGTAGCTATTCCCATACCAAAAGACTAAAGGATTAAAATTCCCATCTATTGACCCAGCAATATCTTATTAGCCAGATGAATTCATTTCCAATTTCATTGCGAACTTCACCAGTGCCTTGACCCATTCGTCGGCTTCGTCGGGCCACTGGAGTAGTTCCCCAAGCGACCACAGGTCACCCGAATCTCGCCCACCTCGGGTGACGACACCATGGGGCTGGTTGAAGTGTCCCATTCCTATGAAAAAACAAGGAAAACTATGGAAAAATGGGATTTCAAAATGATTCAACCAACAAGATTTGGGATTTAAACATGATTCGACCAACAATTGTTGGGATTTAAACATGTTTCAACCAAGACATTTCGGGATTTCACAAAGGGACATGGGGAAACTGAGAGATTCGGCCAACAATGGGGTCTAGCGATCAAACATGGTTGCTGAACCTTTCCAAAACTTGATTTCGCCACATTCAAGCAACACAAATAGCTGCTTGGTATGGTTGAACATATGGGGGTTTCTTAAAATGGGGGTACCTCAAAATCATCCATTTTAGTAGGATTTTCCATTCTAAACCATACATTTTGGGGTATCCCCATTTATGGAAACCACCATATGAGGCATGAATGACACCAACAATCAAATGCTGGGGCAAACTCCGGGAACCAGGTTGAACATCCGCCAACCCGACGAAAAACACATGGCCAATTAGCCAGATAGCCTGCCAAAAATGATAGATTCTGAGCTGGTGAGTTGGTAGATAATCCCATTCCAAAAGACTATCTAATGGATCCGTGAGCCTACCCATCTTTCAGATTGACCTAGAACAGGGTATCATGTTTCCTTCTGTTAGGTCCTGGCAATCAAACCTGGCACACTGGAGGCTTCCAATGCCAGGGGAATCGTCTAAGGTAATTTTCAAGCCAGGTATGATTAGAAGGTGACATCATCATGAGAAGGTATGTCATAATCAATATTTAGAGGACATAATTGTATGTGCTTTACATATCATATGGTTGTAAGCATTAGTATTCGTATTTGCTACATATCATTTGTATGAACTTAGAACATATCATCATTCGATTTGTGGTTGTTACATATCATTAGTTACTTAGTATTAGTATTGTTTATTAGTGGGTACAAACCAATAAACACTTCGTTGTAAGTCTTGCTGCAGGTGCAGTCGATTTTGCTTGTCCTGTCGCAAAGTAAAACGGGGGAGATGTTGATGAGAGGGGCGATCGCGACAACGAAATGAGTTCGTGTCTAGAGATACGACAATGGTTTAAGTGCTGATATCGGCATATAGTTTTCACTGACCTTACAGCAGCGCGCCTCATCACTTGCGCACAAGAGAGTGCGCATCTTGGCCGCGGCGTGCAGCTGCAGCACCCAACGAGGCGGATCGAACCCTTCGGAGCTATCCTGCGTTTGCAACGACAAGAAAGGAGAGCATGGATGCAAGCGGTGGACGTTATATTTTCTTTGCGATTAAAATCAAGTATGTAGCAATTTAAGGAACGCAGGTCCTGCACGAGGTCCAGGTCCAAGTGCTCCTCGGGTCCGTCCGCCATCACGGGGTATTGAAGCTTGGCGGTGGATTTTCGTAGCCGCAGCTGCCGCGCTTGCGTCGGGTCCTATTCGCATTGGAAAGAAATGGGATACAGTTGACGCGAAAGGTTTATTCGTGGCAAGACAGAGCTATGTCCAAGTCTGAAGACGCTAAATGACATTCCCTGGCCTCATCGACGACAAGCAAGCCCTTGCCGAGAATGCAGCGAAACTGCGTCACCAGCTAGCAGACTCTGCCATCCGGGTGGGCGTCCATCACAGCGCCCTTGCTGAGGTCCAGAGCCTGCATGAGCGCCGAGGGTTGTGCCAAGTGAACGGCGTTCGACAGATGGGTATAAATCAGGTGGGGTATTTAATTCGTGCGATCTCACAAAGACACCCAGACAGTCGCGCGCCTGGGCAAGCTTGTAGCCGATGGTGGCCTGGCCGTCAGTGACGTTTTCGTTGTCACTGTTCTTGACGTCCTCAACTGGGTTCGTGCTGGCAGGATTTTTTTCCTGACCCTGTGCCCGAAAACGCAATGGAATTTCCGAAGCTTGCTTGTTCCGCAACAAAGTGCTTTGTTGTGGCCCCACAACTTGAAAATCTGAAGAGCTGAGTTCGGAAAAAAGTAGTTGCTTATGTTGCTTCAACATTTCTTGCCCCTGTAATTTCTCGGAGCGGAGTTTGTTGGAGACTTGCAGAGGGATAAACAGGACCTTGGCCACTGGAACTTTATCCATAGATGTTTGCCCCCATGGTCCCAAAATTGATTCTGGATATTTTTTGCGCACCATGTACGCCTGGGGGTCGTGCCCTTTTTGGGCAATGGAAATTTATTCCGAAAAAAGCTTGGCCCCAAGAAATTTATCCGGCATAAAGAGGGGGACAGCCCCCCGTAGGCACCACACACGGGGATCGTCCTCGACAACGAGGACTTCTGCCTGCGAGGTGCATGGGGCTGAATGAAAAAGTTTGTGGTCCTCTTGGGGCATTGATAAGAAACACGCTTGAAACAAGTTGTTTTTGACAGATCGCCGGTATTTCATTTAGGATGAAAGGCGGAATCTCCAAGATAGTTGTTTTTTGGTTGGTTCATGCTGCTTCCCCTTATGGGACCATATTCGGGCGTCGCGCCTCGGCCGGCCACTCCGCTTGATGCAGCGTCCGCGACGGCGTGCACAGGAGCGGAAACCGTGCATGCGCCGTTTGGAGGGTGCCCGCGTTCATCAACACCTTGCAGCAGCGAGAGCAACGAACTTTGAACCAAAGCCAAGCAACATCAAGCAACTAACATCCAACTGTTGGCAACTGTCAAACAGATGTGCCACAGGATGGCGATACAGTGATGCGTCATATCTACAAGAAGATGCGGGGTGCCCGGCCTCCAAGGCGGATACGCTGCACGCCAGGGGCTTGTTGGAGTACACGGTGGTCCCGTCCTCCCGGGTGGTGACGGCCTCCAAGCGGCTTGGAAAGGAGGAGGTTGGAGATTGCCCCCACCGCAACAGCACCGCTGGCTTGTTTCCTGCAATGCGGCGGCGGTAACAGTTGGCAATGAAATTTGAACCTGACTACTGACTAATACTTAAGATGAAGACCGGCGTGCAGACGTTCTAGTACACACGTATGCAAGCAACGTCCTCGCGAGCCTCAGTCAACGCCGTAGAGGGTGGTTTCGAAGTCCCGAGAAAGTCGTGACGACTCGAGAGGCACCACGGCGGCGGTAGCCTCCCACCCGGGCTCGAGGAAGGGAGTCGGGCGGTCCTGTCAGGAAATTTCAAAGCCGGTGGAAAAGTCAAACTTCCGACAATATGGACAGATGAAAAGAAGAGCAGAAGAGAGAAGAGCAGAAGAGAGAAGATCAGAGAAGAGAAAGTCTGAGAAGGAAGAAGATCCAGGTGCCCGAAAAGGTCAGTCGCAAAACACTGTGTTTTTCCAATGATTCGTGGCTCCGGAGGGTCGAAAAGTACGCTCGCTACAGCGGCGGGTGCGGAGCCAGCTGGCCAGATGAGAGATGAAAAAGTGCACGCCGTTGTGGCGCGAAGCACATTTCCAAGTCAAAATGTACAAAACGCACCATGCTCGGACCACTTTTGGAAGTTGAGATGTCTAAAAAGTGCACGCCCTTGTGGCGCGAAGCACCATGCTCGGACCACTTTTGGAAGTTGAGATGTCTAAAAAGTGCAGGCCGTTGTGGCGCGAAGCACATTTCCAAGTCAAAATGTACAAAGCACACCATGCTCGGACCACTTTTGGAAGTTGAGATGTCTAAAAAGTGCATGCTCTTGTGGCGCGAAGCACGTTTCCAAGTCAAAATGTACAAAGCACACCATGCTCGGACCACTTTTGGAAGTTGAGATGTCTAAAAAGTGCAGGCCGTTGTGGCGCGAAGCACACTTCCAAGTCAAAATGTACAAAACACACCATGTTCGGACCACTTTTGGAAGTTGAGATGTCGAAAAAGCGCACACCGTTGTGGCGCGAAGCACATTTCCAAGTCAAAATGTACAAAACACACCATGCTCGGACCACTTTTGGAAGTTGTGATGTCTAAAAAGTGCATGCCTTTGTGGCGCGAAGCGCGTTTCCAAGTCAAAATGTACAAAGCACACCATGCTCGGACCAGTTTTGCATGCGTGCATAGATCAAGTTGAGCCTGGAGCAATTTCAGAGCATGAGTGCAACGGTTGGCTTTGAGGCTCTCTGAAATTCTCTTGGCCTGTGCCAGGGCAGTCATTATGGTCCTAGTTACCTACTTCATCATCCTACCCCTTCAGTTGAGAATTATTGGACACCTTGACCACATTCCACTTGAACAAGATCCTACATGCATGTGCACATTTGGGCACCAGTTATATATGTACTACCTAAAACTGATTGAACCTATTGACTATTGTTTCGTGATGGTGCTTTTGGAT